AATTTAATTATAATTTACTTCTATATATATATATATATATATATATATATATATATTACTGTAAAAACATAGTATTATTCGAAAGAGAACAGAAGAGGGAAACACATTATAAATTATTGAAGATTAATACTTCATTAATAGATTATATATGAGAATCCTACAAATTTTGAAAACAAAGATATATGACATGACAAACCATATATTCATTGTCCCAGTAAGACCTTAACCAAATTATTTTATAAAACGTTTTTAAGGTTGAATATAAACAACAATTATATGAAAATTACTAATACTTAATTCTTCTCTGTACTTTTTCATGATTCGAATCCCATCGAGCTTTATTCCTTTTATGTAGAAGAGGAAGCATCATCTACCAATAGCTTCGTCTATTTTCTTGATCAAATCCTAAAATTTCAATAATCCAATTAGCATTTTTATTATCAACTCTAAAAGAAATAAGAATTAGCATATGTATAAATTAGTTGCATTGTAATAAATATTTAAGAGCAGTTAAATGGATATATATTTTACCGTCAAATCTTCTTCATTTACTGTTTTTGCTTCGATGATAAGACGCATCTCATCGTTTAACTTCTCGACAATCTCAGTCTTTAGAATCTCAGTCTTGCGAATCTCTTTCTCACTTTCTGGAGGACCAAGGTTTGCTATAATTTTATAGAACATGTCGTTGATACCTTTTGTCTCATACCAATCCTAATTATTTTATACAACAAATCAGTGATATATATATATACACCTTTTTGACAAAACAATGGAAATATATATATGAACACTTTTACCTTCTCCTGTTCTTTAGTTTTAACCACTGCTTCTTTGATACGATCTAGTTCAGCCAGAATCTCAGCTTTTGTAAGAACCATCTTCTTGATATGTTTGTTTGAACAAGCTATAATGAAAGACTTAGGCTTAATTTGTTTTCTTTGCTTTTCTTCTCTTTATGTTCTTCTTAATGTTTTGATTCCTTCCGGTTTATATAGAGAATTATTGGATGTAATGTGTGTCAAGTGGGTGTTGATGTTGTTTCTTCCTCACACAAAAGTCTTTGATAATATTACCATTTTTATTTTTGCTTTTTGATTTAGACCACAACTTTTTCAACTAGGAAACTCTTATTTACTAAGTTTACTTCTAAGTTTGTATCTATTTCTTCTAAGATCAACCCACCAACATACACGTTTCTTAAACTTTCTATAAATACATAATACTAAGAATTCAACTTACATGCTTTACGAATCATAGATAACCTTTTTGAAATTTCATATGTTAATATTTCTAGCCAGTTTTAATTATTTCTCTTTTTGGGGTGTGGCTGTGATTGTGAAGAACAACGTCGACAGCTTTCATTTTTAGCTATTTTTTTTTCTTTACACCATATAGTATTTACCTTTAAAATGTGTTTATCTTTGTAATTAGTAGGACATTATAATTTGTGCTGAAAAAATAAATATGTTATTTATATGATATATTATAATAATCTTGTGTGATTCTTTCAAATCATTTTTTTCATATGCATTCATGTACAATTAAACGTGTACAACCTTTACAAAAACACATATGTATATAATTAAGTGTGTAACTTTGATTTGGTATCCGAATAAAAAAGAACCAATATGGAGGTTGTAACAATTATTTCGATTGTGACTTTTTCCAAAATAGTACACATTGTGATTATTCATAAACTCTTGTAATGTTCTTTGTAATATACATGAATACACAATTTACACAGTTGAAGACACCTCATATTGGTGCTGGTTTTATAATTTCTTTCCATAGAGTTCTTTTTTTTTTTTTTTTGGGTGTGTTAAGTAATTTGATACTTTATTACTGGAAAAACTAAGTAATTTGTGAATAACTTGCATCGTTAGTGAGTACTGATATATATTTTATCACTTATTGATATATATATATATATATATATATATATATCTTATATAATAAGACAAGGTTTCTTCTATCTTTGCCTCACAAAGCGACATTTGGCGCTTTATATTCTTGACATGTGTCATTTTTATTAATTTCTAATTTAACATTTAAAAATTATTTCATTTGTGATATTGTGTTGTAAGTTATAAGATATGTATTGTTTGCTTTTTAAAAAAGTGTCATTGTTGCAAAAAAATATTTTACCTAATTTTAGTTTCTATTTAAATTAAATATCATATAAACTAAACATAAAATGGAGTAGTTAATTTAAAGTTCAAAAATCACAAAAAATTCCTCCTCCTTTTAACGTATTTTTTCCTAAAGTTATTAATATGGGTAATAGATTATTTATAACATATTTTTATAATTTTTGAGAAATAAGTTTATAATAAAATAATTAAAGAGAATTGTTTTCTCTTTATTTTAGCATGGTGAAATCTATGGTAAATAATGAAATTAGAGAAAGTTTGATTGTTTTTCAGTATAATAAATTAGTACATCTAAAATATTTAGATAAAGTAACTATTTAACCAAAAAATATTCTATTATTTAATTTACTATAATTTAATTTAGAAAACAAAATTTATTTAATTTACTATTATTAAACAGTTGAGAGAGGAAACACAGTCTAATAGAATATAATATCATGAAATTTAATCAAAAATAATTATCATATTATTCACAAATCATATATATATATATATATAAATAAAGTTTTACGCTCTTCTTATTGGTTCACTTGGCATCTAACTTAAAAAAAAATATTATGTATTATCACATATATATTATATATATTTAATTCACAATTTAATATAAAACTGAAAAAACAATGAACCACAAAACACAATTAGTCATATACATTAAACTCACAATTTAATATAAAAACTGAAATAATATAAATTTGCATTAACTATATTTTACATTGAATTTTTCAGCACACAATAAATTATAATTGATTCCCATAATTGCATATGTTAAATGGACCAAAGCAATTTTTATTTACTTTCCTTAAATTTTAATCGAATATAATTTCATTAGCAAAAAAAATATAAAAATATCACCCATCTCTATTGTTTCTTATGATAGCTTCTCAAAAAGGTTTTATAGAAAAGGTTTTTAAATCTAATAATTTTCTTTTGACCTAATCTGATAAATTTAATATATATATATATATATAAGAATACACAGGTTGGTTTGCGATACTGACAATTATATGGTAGAGCGGATTATGATTGATATTTTTATTAATGTAATCTTTTACGGTTGGTCCATCAAAATATAAAATGTAAAATTAATGTGTATTTTTTACAAACGCAAATTGGTTTTATCAATGCAATCTTTCACGAGTTAGTATTGTCAAAGTATCATTTTCTCAGTTATCATTCCCTCATTCTCTCATCCTCTATCTCAATTTTCTCTATCTCAATTATTATATAAAAAAAGAGCTTTGTGTTTTTTTTTGTATGAGTTTTAGAAAACAATTAAAATATTCTTTTATAAAAGCTCAACTGTAAAAAAAACTATTTTGATGCTCTGGATTAATATAAGGTTGTTGACAAAAAAAATTGAAATATTAATGTGTCATTCTATAATATTATCCTATATGAAATATTAGAAGATATGATTTTTGGAGAGACCGAAGAAAAAAGTAATCAACATTTCATAAGCAATGATATTTTTGAAAAAAAAAAGAATATAACACCGGGACAAACCTAAAATAGATTTTTATAGATTACAAGTTCAAATAGTTGTTTGTAGTGATCTAAGACTATAAATATTACTCTTAGTATCCTACTGTAGTTAAATAAAAAAGTATTCTAATGGTTATTTTAATTGATGATGGAATTTGTTGAATACAAATTAAAAAAATTATTTCACTTTTTGTTTTCTTTTTGTAAAAAAAAATATCATTTATAATGTATTTTAAATCATTTATGCAGTAGATACCAATCTGCATAATACAAAATAATTATGAAACATATACACTTAGTTTTATATTAAATTTGGAAATATCAAATAAATATTCTATTAGATAGTGCATAAAAATGAAGAAAATTTCTTAATTGCTTCAATTAAATTGATTTCCAAATAATTATACTAAAATTATTATAAATATAATATCAAATTTATCTCGCGCATCGCGCGGGTCTACTTCTAGTTTTTTAATATGGTACAGTTTCGACGGAATTGATTTTTCTCTTGCCCTAACAATACTACTAATTCTTGTTTATTATTTTAGTTTGATTCTAACACATCATATTAACTTTGTTATGTGTATATAGCTAGACATCGATACACATGCACCTCTTATATGTGTAATGCCACTCTCTTTTATAAGACCTTAATGAGAAAAAAGAAAAAATGTTCAAGAACCATTTGAAAAATCTCACCTATTTAATTATGAGCTTATTTTGTTTTTCTCATGGTTATAAGTATATTATATTGAGTTATATTACTGGAAAACATAGTATTAGTTTATATTTAACTAGTCAGTTGTCCGCGCTACGCGCATGAGTTTATTATATTGTTTATGAGTAACTGGTTTGTATTTTATTTCCTACTTATTTTTTTCACTATACCATACGTTACTTTTTTAAAAACTTAAATTGTGTTTGTATAGAAAAACTATTGAGTTTTAGCTTCATTAGTCGTTGAGAAATTAAGTGTATATAGTATAAGTCGAAATGTGGGCGTAAATAGAAGTGCGGTTGAGAATCATTGAGAAACGTGTGCTATTAGGGTTTTTACCAAATATAGATCTAAATGTTAATATTTTAGGCCCTTTTATATGTTGGCATGAAATTTGAACATGATTTGTGGGTTTCGGGTGGA